CTCTGTATGCTGGTTTGTGTGTTCTCCAACACCACTCTCACAACGCTTCTCTGAACGCACTCACTCTCCCAACGGGGAGCTTACCTAACAGAATATATGAATTCCAATCCACAAAGTAAAAGTATCTGGGAATTACCGTATTTTTCAGAGTATAAGACACACCTTTTTCCCTCAAAAAAGAGGCTGAACACCTGAGTGCATCTTATACACTGAATACAGCATTTTTGCCTCCCGAAACCGTGCCCCTTCACCAAAATGGCCATGCATAGCTTTTAGGAGGCTTTCAGAGAGCTCTGGCGGCTGCAGAGGGCAGAAATGAGCAAAAAATGCCCTTGGGGGGGGGGGGAAACGGGCCCGTTTTCACAAAAAATCGGCCATTTTGGGGAGGTTTGCAGGGTGTAAAAACTTTTTGCCTCTTCAAAATCTTATGCTCTGGTGCGTCTTATACTTCAAAAAATATGGCAATTGATCAACTGGCTAATTTAAAGGAAATATCCATCTGTATCTCATCTGCCATTGTCAAATTCCTCAAGACAAGAGGTGGCCACTATATCCCTTCAGCACTCAAATTATTCAAAGCTAAAACAATAGAGCATTATTTTATGGTGCCCAGCTGGGTCCCTTCTTCAACTCTACACCCATTAGAACTTGTTCAATTCAAATTTCCAAGATTGACTCTTCATATCCCAAAATGTGTGTCTAATGCTACTCTAGAGATTGGAGACAGGCCTCCTGAAAGTGGAAGTAAAAGTGTGGGACCATGTTCAAGTACTGCACAGGTGTCAAACTCGCGCCATCACGTTGCCGTCATGTGATGTATCACGACGGTTTTTCCCTTCGTGGAGCTGGGGTGGGAGTGGCCTGCGTGTGACATATCTGGCCCGTGGATGGTTAATTTGACACCCCTGAATTACTGGATGAAGCTATCCTTTTTTCCCCTTCATGTTGCAATGCTGACTACGACAGATGATATTCAATTCACATGGGAAAAAGCAGTGGTGTCTAAAAATCCCATGCTTGGGTTTCTCTCTACCATCTCCTACTCAATATGGGATATGATCAGGCCAAATCTCTCATTAAACAGCACAGAGGAGACACAGAATGCCAAATGGACCTAGCCAGGTCTCCAGCCTTTATTGCTAGTGAATTCAGTTTGCATTCTGCTTCTCCCATGTCATACTTAAACAATCTCAAGGCACCAATTCACTGGAGGACTTTTACATTGGCAGGATGTCATAGCAATAACAGACTTATATAAAGCCCCATAGTGCTTTACAGCATTCTCTAGGGCAGTTTCAGAGTCAGCATATTGCCCCCCAAAGTCTGGGATCTCATTTCACTGGGTCCTCAGAAGGATAGAAGGCTGAGTCAATCTTGTGCCCCATCAGGATCGAACTCCTGGCAGTGGGCGAGTTTGCCTGCAATACTACATGCTAACCACTGAGCCATAATGTTATGTCCTCCCCTCAGCTGTCCTTGAAGGCTATAAAAGAACATTCCCTACCTTAAGAGAAAATGCCCCTGTGGCTCTGAACACATAAAAACAACAGAACATGTGTTTCTCCACTTATGTAGGGCTGCCTTTGGATATGATCCAGAAATTGTAGCTGGTACAAAATGCACTGGCAAAATTAAAGGTAAAGGTTCCTCTCACACATATGTGCTAGTCATTCCTGACTCTAGGGGGCGGTGCTCATCTCCGTTTCAAAGCCGAAGAGCCAGCGCTGTCCAAACATGTCTCCATGGACATGTGGCTGGCATGACTAAACAGCGAAGGCGCACGGAACGCTGTTACCTTCCCACCAAAGGTGGTTCCTATTTTATCTACTTGCATTTTTACATGCTTTCAAACTGCTTGGTTGGCAGAAGCTGGGACAAGTAACGGGAACTCACTCTGTTACGCAGATTCGAAACGCCGAACTGCCAACCTTTCTGATCAACAAGCTCAGCGTCTTAGCCACTGAGCCACCGAGTCCCTACTGGAAAAATCACAGGTGGGAAAGTCTTTCCAGTGTAACATAATGCCAATCTTAATGTCTCTTTCTATGTGGTTTCTGGGGTTTCCCATTCAAACTACTGCTTGTTAACAATCTACACGGTTCAATTCCAGCACAGTTCAGGTGGCACCTTGGCAGACACAATTGAGTCTACTGGTGCAACTCATCTAGAGAAGGTCTATTAACGGTCTCCCTTCTTCATGAAGATTAGAAAGTTATAGGACTTCTCAGTGGTAGCCCCATGAACAGGGGTGGGCTGCTGGGGGTTCACAGGGGTTCGGGAGAACCTCTAGCTAAGATTCTGTGCGTTCGGAGAACCCCATATCCCACTCCTGGCTGGCCCCGCCTACCCCACCCTCCCAGGAGTCCCTATGCGGCCTGTTTTGAATAAGGTAACTGCAGGGCATGCATAGGGGTTGGGGGAGGGCAAAAAACACGCCTAACGGAAATTTCAGGCCCGTTTCCGGCCTCCAGCGCGCCTCCGAAGCCCTCTGTTTTTGCCTTCTCAGAGGTTCAAGGAAAGCCTCCGGAACCAAAGGAAGGCAAAAAGCCCCCCCCCCCCCCCCTGCCGTGGTGCAGGAGGCTGACTAGGCCACACTCACCATGGCCACACCCACCCAGCAAACGGGCAGAGAACCCCTTGCTAAAATTTTTGAAGCCCACCTCTGCCCATGAGATATATGCAAATTTCCCTTGCATTTTACCCGTTGGATAAATCAGTCCTATGTCATTATGCCTTCCCAGTTATCTGGCTAGGTTTTTTTTTTTCCCTGATGGAAGAAAGACGAATGAACGTTATGGATATTTCTGAGAACTTACTGGAGCGCCGTTTTGTAGTGGTAGATGGCTTCTCTATCCCGGCCTTGGTCTTTCAGAAAATTGGCGTAGTTGTAGTGCACCTTGGCATTATGGGGCAAAGTTTGGACTCCTGATCTATGGAAGACAAACCACACAGGAACAGCAATGTGAATCACTTGGTTTAAAGATTTCACTTCCTTGTTATTCTGTCTCAAAGAACATCAAGTGAGAAAGAAGCCTGCTCAAAAATAAATACCTGGAAGGATGCTATCATGCAGAACACATCATGCGACACAGGTGACGTCGAGCTGCCCATGCCCAACCTGGACACGCAAACCTATCCCCCCAAGGTCAAACACAACCCTGATGGGGCCCTAAATGTCATCGAGTTTGACACCTCTGGCATAAGGTGATCTTAATGAAGACTGTTTCTCTCCACTGAGAACTTCCTTAGAACAACTATTAGATCAATATTGCTGTGGAAGGTGAAGTCTCATAGACAACAGACCAAGGCTGCCTTAGTTTAACAACTACGAAATGTCTGACAAAAAGCAAAGCATGTATAATCAATGGGGAGGTGATGGTGATGTAGAAGAGGAAGGTGGCATTTGGGGTGGTTCTTAGGTTTCTTTTTGCAGAATCTCCAACTACTGAGATTTCTGGAGAATGAGAGAGAAAAGCAAGGCTCAACTTTTCCAAAAAGAGGTTGAATAAAAATACTCCCAAGTTAGAAGGTTTCTACTTTCATTAATGCTTGGGCCTGTACTTTGGTGAAATCTGTCTAGAGTAGTATTTCTCCATCATGCTGGCTGGGGAATTCTGGGTCCACATATCTCAAAGACGCCAAAGTTAAAAAATGCTGTTCTAGAATATTTTCCAAATAGTATCCATTCAGCTTTTTTAAACTCATAAACTCCACCCTTCAATTCACTAACAGAGACAACTCTGAATGTGCATCAAAAAAGCACATGTGAAACTGAAAAGAACAAGAAAACTGTTATAAACATCCTACAGATGGAGATGAGGACGAAATAAAACTTCAGTACACTTTTGTCCAAAAAACTGCATTCAAGAAGGGCTGTAATAACTCTCAAAAACCGGGAGAAGGAGAGAGGAAGGGGAAGTAGAAAAGAGAAGGATAATAGAGGGAAGAAAGGAGGGTGGGAGGGAGGGAGAAGAAAATGACGGATAGGGTACAAATATGGTGTATGGAGAGCAGAAGAGCCAATAATCATTTTTTGGGGTTGATGGTAAGACAAATTGACATAAATATTTAATAATACAAAATAATGTTGGTTATGTAACAGTATAAATGTGGTTATTTGTATGAAAATAAAAAAAATAAAAAGCTTTATTTAAAAAAACTCTCAAAAATCGAAGATCTACATTTAAAACTTAAAATTGATGATGCTCGTCATATAGATTCTTCACAGTAATCAATGCAAGCAAAATCTGACATTTTGCTGTTTGGGAAACTTCTAAGTACAGTATCCTGCCAAAATTGTCCTGAAAAGCTTGAAATCTGGTGCCAGATTTACCTGGAAAACCATTTTCTAATTAAAATAGGAAATAATAAGTGTGCACAACACAGCCACGAAGGGAAATGCGAGGAACAATAACAAAAAGTTTTTTCCATTTCTCGTTGAATAGTCCAACTCATAGTTTCCATGAACACTTGCCCAATAAAATCCGATATTGTTCCCTGAAGAAAATATATAACAATTGAACTAGTTGAGAATAGGAAATAAAGAGGGGAAACCCCATGGTTATACTATGTTTGAGAACAATATGATTTCCTTCTTTCTCACAGATCAACCTATAATTCAGTGCCATGCATAAACAGTCCACTTGAGATGAAACTTCTATGAGTCAAGAATACGTTTTATTTTTTAGGACACAGATTGTCCACACAGAGTACAAATTTCCAGCTTCCAATGGAGCGCCCGTTTTAGGACTAAGAGAAATGTTAGTACTTCAACAAGTAGGCGGACCTGATGAAATTAAGTGTTTATTTAGCATATGGCATATCATAGGTGGACTAGCAATATATACTAAATTTCATCTAATAGAACACAATCTATCTATATAAAAGTGTGTGTGTGTGTGTGTGTGTTTGTGTGTTCCAGCATAACTCTGGAACGCCTCAAGCAATTTCAACCAAACTTGGTACACAGATGACTTACTCTCTGGAGACATATACTGTGGGGGGTAAGACACCCCTAACAACCCTCTGTGTGTGTGTGTGTGTGTTCTATTAAGAGACAGCCTGTTGTTCTGTAAAATGGAGTTGCCATGGTAATGGCTTTACAGTACTCCACAAGGGGGTCCCTCTGGTAAAGGGGAAAATCCAACAGTAGAAATTACATTTGGTCCAGACATTTCCCCCCTATAAATAACTATCTAGGCAGCGTCAGGTTATCAGCTAGTAAAATATAAATGTTAAAAACATCTATGTCGAAATACCAATGTCTAGTCCTTCTAACCATTGAAGTGCAGCATTGTTTATATTAAAAAAAATCAGATACTGGTCCGGTATATACCTTCAGCTTATAGCCAGTCATGATATAATCTATAATTTGACATGGGCTTTGCAGCTAAGAGATCTCAAGATTTCCTGATTTCTAATCTGGTGCCTTTAACCACTGTACCAGACTGGATATTGCAGGCATCAAAATACATGCTGTCCAGTTCATAATCCAATAAATCATTTTTCAATTTCAAAAACATACACAGAAGAGCAACACATTGTAATACTCATACGAACCCAACATGCCTTTTCCATCTACTGGCTCTTTTAAAGCCATCCTACCTGAAAAGAGATTCTCTTGACAACCAGATTTCGTTCTGTTTCACTGTTTTCCAAGAGAACAGAAGCAGCAGCAAAGCCGAGAAGGACATTGCGGTGATCCCCCATCTATTTAGCCACAGGCAAAGCTTGTTTAAGCCATGGACCAAGAGGATGCAGTAGCCCATACTGGAAGGGAAGAAAAGGGATAGGGAAGATGTTATACTTCAATCTACAGACAGTACAACAGATAGTGTGCCTTCCTAATAATCTAATGATAAACTAATTTGTTTTAAAGAGAGGATAAGTGGCAATCTTCTAGCTGATCTCAAAAAGCTACCCCGTTTCCCTGAAAATAAGACCTCCCTGGATAATAAACCCACTCAGGCTTTTGAGTGCATGTGCTAAAATAAGCCCTCCCCGAAAATATGCCCTCCCTGAAAATATTGCAACACAGCAACAGCCATGAGTTGACCACGCTCGCCACCTCATGCACCTCAAAAATAAGAAGACCTCCCTGAAAATAAGGCCAAGCGTTTATTTCGGGGGTCAAAAGAAAATAAGACCCTGTCTTATTTTCGGGGAAACACTGTAATTAGGTCAGATCTGATTCGTACAGGATGGGAGATCATCAGTGTTGAAGACTAGACAAGAAGTCAAAGAAAGATCCTGGAAAAAGGCAGAGTCACCACTTCTATATTGTTGTTCAGAGAACTACATGGATATGAGCACAAAGCCTCGGGGTTGTGAGATCAGAATTACAGAATTGGGAAGGACCTCGGAGGTCTTCCAGTCCAATCCACTACTCAAGCAGGAGACCCTATACCAGTGATGGCTAACCTTTTTGTCCTCACGTGCTGAAAGCACAGGCGTGCCCACACCCATAATGCAATGCACCCTCTGCACATGCACATGACCCCCCCGCACATGCATGTGACCCCCTGCTCCTCCCACCCCACCCCCCTTTCCCCATGCATGCGCGCATCTCCCACATGCATGGCAGAGACTCGAAAATCAGCTTGCCGGTGGGAGGCACACACACATACACAGTGGAGCAGAGCTGGCTTGCTCGCCTGCAGAGAGGGTTCCGCATGCCACCTGTGGCACATGTGCCATAGGTTTGCCATCATGGTCCTATACCATCCTGGACAAATGGCTTCTTAAAAATCTCCAGTGATGGAGCATCCACAACTTCTGGAGGAAAATCATTCCATCCAAAGTAATTTTCTTCTAAATGGTTTAGATATAGCTTTAATTAAAAATATTTAATTTTTAATGTCACAGCTTTAACTTAGTCTGGAAGTTTCATTACTTTTAAGTATATTGCTTTGGTTTTATTAAGAAAAATGTATACGACAATCAAAATAAATAAACTCATAATTATCTAAAATAATCTCATCAACCTAACTAATGAAATCATGTTTCCATGCTACTCAGAGAATCCTTTAAAAAAATATATATTCTGAACTGCTGGCAGTTGCAAATTAACACATTTATAGAAGATTTTTCTTTTTCAAAATTACAAAAATCCAGAGAGTATTAAACTGGGAAGAGTATTGTGTCTTCAAACATATTAAAATATCAACCCTATGCCAACAGAGCCAGAATATAATTTGTTTTTCCTCTTCCCTGAGGATCAGTTTGCTATTTGGTAAAGCTATAAAGTAGCATACAACAACATGCTTTTACTCCCTAAATTTCCTTGGCTTTTTATATAACTACATTAATCAGATATCAACCAAGCCATACATGGGTATTTTGTTGTTTTGTTCTTCAGATCTTGGCTTTCTATAAAAGCAAAAATACTTTTTTTAAAAAAAAAAACAACCTCTTTTTAAAAAAGCAAGAATATTGTATGCACAAAGTTGGAAAGATTTGGCAATACCTACAGCAGAAGAATGCTTGGTGAAGATGATGGAAGATGCTGAGATGGCCAAATTGCCTTCCTTCATTAGAGAAAATACAGTAGATTGTTGTGGCCCAGCAGGAGCCATTGGAGCTGCCACCAGACTCCGACAGCGAGGGCCCCTATGAGTTGGCTCTGGAGGATGTGGAGGACCCTGGACAGGGTTCCGACACCGAGCAGGGTGCAGAGAGGCTGGTTGGCCAACAGGAGGCGCCTGAGCTTTGGACCAGTGGGGAGGAGACAAGAGAGAGTGAGCCGGATGCTAGTAGTGAGTTGTTCCTGGATGCCTGGCACCGAAGAGCTAATAGCTGTCAGGAACAGTTGCGCAGCTACAGGAGGTAATTGCACT